TGCCCTCACATTCCTCCACCTTAGATCAAAACAAAGGAAGGCAGACCATCTAAGATTCTGCAGAAGAAAACAGAATCTTAATTCATCCTTATGGTCTTGCCATCTTTGGTGTTAAAGGCCAAGGCCCCTTTTCAATTTGAAGAAACTTCATTTCCTTGAGACAGGGAACCTCGGAACTATTTTTTAATTTAGCCAGCAGTAACACAAAGTGTGTATTTTTCCTGATTGAATAACTCAGAATTTGATAGCACATATTTACTCTTCCCGAACTCAGCATGGACACTGAACATGACCAAGGACAGCTGTAGCATTTGTTTAAGCCAGGAAGAATTTCAGTGCTATACAAACAACAGCTCATTTCAGGGTTCTACGCCGTTAAGGTGTGTAATATTTCAGGTTGATTTTAGAGATGAAGATAACAGAGGAAGTACAGGAATGATGAATTATTCAACCAAAGTCACACAGCCAAGAAGGTCAAACCGGAATTTAAAACCGGGCTGTCTAGACCCGACGTCCATGCCGCCCTGGGTTATGCTGGCTCCTGAACTTTCGCACATTGCAGATGAACAGCCATGTGGCAAAGACAATCTTACACCTCTGTAATGTGACCGCTTTAATCTCCAGTTCCTACACAGCACTTCCCTCGCAGGCTCAGGACTAACAAAGGGGAAAGGAGAAATGCCCAATGCCCCTACTTGGCATTCTTTTAGTAACAAAAGGAAGCTTTGAAAATGACAGCATCTCCAATCTGGTAGGAAATGCACGAAAGAAAGAAAAGGTCTCAGAAATCTCTGGGATGATATTTCATAATGCCACTGTAACTTTAAAAGGCCTCCGTACTTGTTCAGATTCAAATTTGCCAAGCTAGTGCATACTTGAAATCTTAATTACTTGGTACAGGAAAATAGGGCCGGCTTCTAGTGTGGCTTGGGGAATTCCACAGCAGGACTTCTCCAGAGAGTTCGGGAGTTTTCACCCTAGAATTCTTTCAACACACCTGGCATCGAACCTACATTCTCCTAATCCCTGCCTCTGGGGCAGGTGTGAAGGTGTGCCCACCGCTGCACAGGGCGTTCTGCCAGGGCATGGATCCTTGACCTGGGAGGGGCCGGGCGACTGCACAGACCTCTAGGCCCTTCACTGTTGAATTTGCCAGTTTCCTGAGAGTTTCAGCAGGGAAGAAGGCAAGTGAGCTCCTTCCTGCAAAGAGTCTGACCCTGTTCTCATCGAGGATTGGTTTGTTTCATGACTGGGTCTCTTTATTCTTTTGGTAATCTAGCCTTGTAGCTCATCAACCTTAATACTGCCTCTGACTGCCAGAATTTCTAACACCATCATGTATTTGGCAGAAGGCTACATCCTCCCAGGGGCCAGTCCTGTTTTGGATCATTTCCCCCTGAAACAACTTAATCGATTAATCTGAATCGATTAACCAGTCAAAGCAGGACAATGTTGCCTGGTCCTTTCATGGACTAGAAACCAGAAACTCCATCTCTCTTTTGCAGGAGGCAATGCCCCAAGTGAGCAAGGGGCCAGTGCTTCTAAGTCATAGGAAGCCAAACATTAGTCCCCTTCACCTGCCTGTCCCCAACAGGAGACAACAGCCTGAATGTCCACTGATTAAATTGTGACAATCGTCCTCCTTCCTCAACAAAGTTGAACACCAGAGTGTTGTTGATAATAGCGATGGAACCCTTCATCTTCCGGAGTCCCCACACTGCCACTGCCCTCAAGCCCCTTCCATTGTCCTTCTCTACGATACCTCACGCCCGACAAGATGTCCCAATGTGGAGTCCAGCTCAGTTCCCTTCATCTTACAAGATGCTGTGCTCAAAAGATGCCCAGAAAACATCTTGATCATCTGGGGTGTCTCTTTGTGGTGGGGTGGGGGGGGCGCGGAGAAAAACAGGAAGACCAGGGTAAATGTTTGAGATCCAGAACTAAGTAAAATCTGGAAAATGTGCTAAATGACTCACATTTTTGTTTAGGACGAGGAGGAACTTTACCAGGCATGTGTCTATTTTGATCACGAGTAAAACAGAAATCAGTGTTCTGATTTGGCACCGATTCTGAGGCTTTGATTTATTATGGAATTTACAAATGATGTTTTCCATGACCCTATTGGTTGGCCCATGTAGATGTCAGCACAACTTATCTCCCTAAAAAAAAACACTTGCCAATAGCAAGTGTGTCATTTTACACACTAGCCCCGATGAAGATTTTATAGGTACTCTTAAGTTCCAGGTTTATTTAGTGTAAATATCGTCTAGACACATTATCTCATTTTCATCTCAGAGCTTGGAGCAAAGGAAGAGAGAAGCCTGATAAGAACCCTGTAGTGGAAGAAGCTGAGGACAAAAGCTTAAGTGGGTGGCACAGGGCTGGAGAGATGGCTCTGTAGTGAAGAGCACTGGCTGTTCTTCTAGAAGACCTAGGTTCAATCCCCAACACCCATGTGGTACATAGACATACAGAAAAGAAAACACCCATACGCATAAAACAATAAAATAAACAAACAGACAGCATGGTAGGTGGCTTTCTGCGAATGAATGGTAAAGCTGGCACCCATGACACAGGTGCTTTGGGTTGGAAAAGGGCAGAATAAGGATTTGGGGCAGATCTGCACAGCCAAGACTTGCTTGGTAACAGCAAACCCTTCAAAGAGCAGAGTAAAGTCTAGAACCATGGTGGAAAGGAATTGGAGCTTCCAGACCTGATACTCACGTTGACACTGTCCCCAGGACTGGCGAGCCCAGCCCCAGCAGCAGTCAATCCTGCCGCCATAACGACACAGGCCAATCGAAGAGACTATTTGCCTGGGCCACCTACCAAACAAACAAACAAAAAAAAAAATGTGAAATAAAGACACGTGAGATTTAAAATCGTTCTCTCTTTGTTTTACACAGAAAAATCTACTTAAACCACACCCAGCACTTTGCTACAAACTCCTTACTGTCGGTAGGAATTTCAGGACAGGACACCTTCTCAGTAATAGTTCTCCAACAATCTAATTTCTGACTGTAAAGTTAAACATACACACACACCGGGCACACAGGAGTAGGGAGAGAAGCAGTGCCAGCTGAAACCAAGACATCCCGGGCCACCACCATTCACGGGGTGGTTTCTGAAAGCTTGAAATAAAACAGATTCCCCAGACCCACAGCTGTTGGGAAGGGGGGCAGTTTCGACTAATACACCATACACGGATACACCCACCGTACACTGAAAAGCGTTGAATAACAGATCTGGCAAAGCAGAAAGAATTTCTGCTGAGTATAAAGGACAGATAAGGAAATGGGCAAGAAGAGGCTATTCAAAAATCAAACGCAATAAAACTCATTTCGATCCAACTACCCCCTCCCATCACTGTCATGCCGCAAGAGAGGTCTAAAACCAAGGAATTTAAACTGTGGGGAACGCATAAAGTTTCTTCGTGTTTTGCAAGCTGTCTGCATCAGCAATTCAAGGACTGCAAGTTTAAGGTGCAGACCCCATGTATCAGAGAATGCTTAGCATGCGATCCTTAGCAGTTTAGATTCACACCTACCAGACTGTCTTACTCCCGCACATCTAAATAGGCTGTTTTGGACGCCTTTTAAAAACAGTAATACATTTACAAGTGTGTGTACCTCTTGGGAATGTGTGCCCCAAAGCAATGCACCATGAGTTCACGAGTGGGCAAAGAATTGGTTTTAATAAAAAAAAAAAAGCCTTAGCCCCTGACTGCTTCCCACTTCTCCTTACACTCTTTATCTTTTCAGTTCATCTTCTCTTTACTCTCAGGCCCAAGGTACAAAATAACCCCTAACTTTCTATTTCCTCCGACCAGGTGCTGAACAAGGAGCGCTGCCTTCACTCTTCCGCGCTCCGTGGCTTCCCCTCCGGGAAAGCCAATCAATCCTGCAATTGATTCGTTCCAAGATTGCAGGTAAAAAGGTGCGGCATCTTCAAGGCAGTTGAGAGACAAGCTCTAGGGGTGGGGGCGGGGTGGGTGGCGGGGTGAACCAGCGGGAAACCTGTCCAGCTGAGGCCTTCAGCAGGGACTGAGGGGAGCGACCCTCACTCAGGGCGAGGGATCTCAGAGGGAGAGAGCGCGCCGCGGTCTTGGGAGGACATGCTCAGTGACAGCGGAGACCCAGCTCGAGATTGTTGGGACCTGTCAGAGCACGCATCAGTCAGGCCCGCCAGGTCTGAGTGGTGCCGCGTGGACACACACACACACACACACACACACACACACACACACACACACGGAGCGTCCCCTCTCAATCCTCATATTGAGCTTCTGTCCCTTCTGGAGGACACACACACACACACCACACACAAGCACGGAGGGTCCCCTTAGTCCTCATGTTGAGCTCCCGTCCCCTCCAGAAATCAAGAGGGGAGCTCGCGGGTGCCCCTCGTTCCCGAGTCGCGTCCTCGCCGCCACCCTTTGTCGAGCCGCCCGGTCACCTGCAAGTTTCGCCTCCGGACACAGTCCACCCTGAGCACTGGCCGCGGGCTGCAGGGACGCCCCACTCGCCACCTGTGTCCCTGCGCCGGCTTGCGCTCAACGCAAGCGGGGCACGAGCCTCCGGCTCCCCAGTCCCGAACGGGGCTGAGCAACCGGAGGTCCCTGCGGGAAGGAGAGGGCGCCGGGGACCCATCTCACCTCCCGTCGAAGTCGGCGGCCGCCTGCAGGTAGAGCGAGGACGCGAGCACCGCCGCTAGGAGCACAGCCATGCCGGCGGGCCAGGACGTGGGGCGCTGCGGATTACGGGGAGCCGTGCGTCCCGGGATCTCCGGGTCTCCTTCGGTGCGACACCCTCAGCTGCTGGGACGCACAGGGCGCGACGCGCAGCCGGGCAGGTCTGCGGCAGGCTGGCAGAGCCCCTCCGGCTCCCTCCTGGCGAGGGGAGGTGCTGCGGCGGGAGTCGCGCCGCCCGCCCGCGGGGAGGGGCGAGGCGGGAGGGACAAGCCGCGCAGCCCGCCGCCCTCCCTTCCCCGGAGCCCTCGTGCCCTGAGCGCGCGCCGGGGCTCGCCCCTCCCCGGGCCCCCGAGGTTGGGGCAGCTCAGGGGGTGGAGACGCCGCGCGCCACCAGCGTCTGCCACGAGTGGCGCTTGCCCCGGGCTGCAAGAAAAGTTGCGAGCACAGCCTGGAAGAGGGAGAGCTGGGGGACCTGCCTGAAAGGGTGAGCCTGAGGAAAACTGAGGGAGGTTGGGGCGGGGAGGGGGGGGGGGGAGAGGGTACGCTCTCTGCGGGGTCCCTCAGACAGGTGGGGGCTCCCCAGACAGGCGGGCTGCAGGGTAAGAACACAAGCTTTAGGCACCAACACGGCAGAGGTTCTTGAACTGATTAAGGCAGAGATTGCTTCAAGAGCAGGGCCGGCGTAGCCCTGTGCCTTTTTCCTGAAAAAGGTGTTTGCATCTCAGGTCGGTTTTGAAGAAGAAACGTGCAAACTGTTCCTCTCTCCCGCAGCTCTACTCCACCAAGTTGTCCCCCACCACCCTCGCCGTGGAAGGGCTGTTACCACCTAGGCAGCTTGTGGTGGCTGGTCATGAGGGGACCTCTGTGAAACCATTTGAAATAGTTACTAATTGCTGCAGAGTAAAAAGCATTAAACTGAAGGACTGCTCATGTGAAAATACACGCTTTTCCTAGAGTATCACTGAAACTTACTTAAATCAGTCATTTTCTCAAACCATATTCCAGTGACTATCCTATCCCCTCTCTTCTCAGTTCACAGTCTCGTGGCCTTCTGGTACCCTCTAGGCATGCCCTTGTACAGCTGTCTCACTTCTTTAGCTTGTTCAGAAATCACCCGAAAGCCAAATATGAGTACTATTTAAAATTCTTATCTTACCCCTTTGGCGTCACCTCCCACTAAACTGGGCGTTTTCCCCATCCCACTGGTCTTTTTTTTTTTTTTTTTTTTTTTTTTTTTTTTTTTTTTTTGGTTTTTCGAGACAGGGTTTCTCTGTGGTTTTGGAGCCTGTCCTGAAACTAGCTCTTGTAGACCAGGCTGGTCTCGAACTCACAGAGATCCGCCTGCCTCTGCCTCCCGAGTGCTGGGATTAAAGACGTGCGCCACCACCGCCCGGCCCCCACTGGTCTTTTGTCTTACTGTATAATTTGTTTATACATGGTCTTTCTGCTCTAAGGCAAACCCTAAAAGAATAGCTATCTTTGTTTAGTGCCTGCAACATTGTCTGGCACATAGTAGGTGCTTACAAATGTTGAAATTGTTTGCTCCATTTGGGGGAGCCTAGGCAGTTTGGATGCTCACCTTAGGAGACCTGGATAGAGGTGGGCGGTCCTTGGACTTCCCACAGGTCAGGGAACCCTGATTGCTCTTCGAGCAGATGAGGGAGGGGGACTTGATCGGGAGAGGGGGAGGGATATGGGAAGCGGTTGCGGGGAGGAGGCAGAAATCCTTAATAAATAAATTAAAAAAAGGATTAAAAAAAAAAGAAAAAAAAACAAATGTCACTCCAAACTCATCTGTTTGAGGTCTCTGCTACTTGAATTGTTAGTGAAAAGTTCTCTGACAGGGTGGCTGCCCTATCCTGATTTATCGGTGTGTGTAAAACTAGGAATCTTCTGCAAGAAAAGGAAAAATGTTTCCAGCTTGAACGTCTCTTTGATTTCCAAGTTGTTTTCTGTTAGCAAAACACGTTTCTATTTTAATCTCAGAACACATCCATGCCAGTTCAGGCTTGGGACATTGTTTTAGGCAAACAGCTTGGTGTCATCCATTTCAGATGCTTCTAACGGATTCCAAAAAATGTTAGTCAAAATATTTTTTTTTCCTACAGAAAATCAAGCTTTTGTAAATGTGATGTAGGCTTGCTTCCAGGTCCCACTGGCCACTCCTCAGTTGCTTTCATTGCTCATTGACTCTGTGCTAGGTTCCCGAATAAGCTCCATCACCATAGTGGGCATTTGAGTTAGCCTATAGGCCAGCAAATAAATCCAGAGGGGAAAGAGAAGTAATGGGTGGAAATAGGATGGGTAGTTGCACACTCTCTGACACAGATCTTTTTGGCCAAGAAAACCCTCCATCTTCACTTGGTTGCCAGTTACACTTGTGAGTCTATGCTTCACTGATAACCAAGCACGTATTTCTGATTTTTTTTTTTTTGCTTGTCTGCTATGGTATGGTCCTCTGTAATATTACATGTCTCCAAGAATAGCTCTTGCTGAATTGTGTTGTAATTTACCTCTCTGCCACATTCAGTCCCTCTAGCCAATAGGAAGCCACAGGTAATATTACTCATGCCACTACATCCTGGCCGCTCAGCACACCGATTGGCATGAGTCTTAAATAGGTTGGCTTGGATTGACAGATATCCTGTCTGGTGAACTTTAGCTTCTGCCTTGAGTAAGTGGTAATTACATCAGTCTGTTGAATTTTGGCTTTAGGAGACTATGAAGGATGTCCAAGGTGTATCAGGTCATTGCGTTAAAATTAATCAACACCAGCGATTCAAAAAAATGGAAATCTTCCAATTTGTCATTATCTCAATCACTTTTTGCCCCAGTGTTGAAGATTGTGTCCCAGATTTCGTCCCTGCTAGGCAAGCACTACCGATGAGCTGCATCTTGTGCTCCTCTGTTTGAGCCTTAAAACACACAGCAAGAATGAGACCCAATGTCTTACTTTTAGCGATAACTGCACTTGACTAGTAGGACAAACTGTAGGCTAGCTTTCCTAATACACAATGATACCTTACAAGGCGTTATCCCAATTTTCTCACACACAAGTCAATACCTGCCATTGGTGACACGGTGATAGAAATAACTAACAAGAATCAGGTATCTAACTTCCAACATTCAGAAATTACAAGCACCTAATTATTCCTTTCATTTCAACAAATAATCACCAAGAGACTACAGTCAGTTTTAGGTGCGGAGATTTCAGCCGGAGATGCGATCAAGCCCTGCCCTGAGGGAGTTTATATTCCAGTGAAGGAGCTGAGCAGGGGTGAGGTGAGGAGGAGAACGGAAGGCTTGCAGGGATTTGGGAACCACTAGAGAGGTGGGGTTTGAACTGAGACTCAGGGAGAGGGTAAGGGTGTGTTTCCAGACCAAGGGCAGAGCAAGATGTAGCCTCTTTTCTCCAGTAAGGTGTGAAGTGACTTCGGATAGCTGGTGTCATAGAAACCACTGAACAACTGACTGCGTCCCAACCCCAGCTGCAGTGTGGTGCCACAGGCACCGGGTTTACTGCTATGAAAAGGTCTATAAGGAGGATACACACAGCTGCTGCTACACAGCCATCTTCACTCCTCATCAGTGAGAACTGGCTCTGGCCGGGCAGTCTGGCCAGCTAGCTCCCCTTGGAGAATCCACTTTGCCCATAACCACTGCTGGCCACATCAGAGATTACTGTTGATGTGTATTTCTCCACTAGCATACCCATCACTCACAACTCTTTCAACAGGGATGGGTTTGAAGGCTTGAGTCTATGTTGCTTTAAGGAATTCAAAGAGACAGACATTTCCAGGCCAGACTCATGGTTTCTGTGGCAACCAGGCTTCTTTAAACCCAGTAAGCTTGTGGCCTAGTTGTTCCCAGTTCATTTCTTGTGTAGATAACCACAGCTAACATCTGTTCTAGTCCTAGCCCCTAAGCTTTAGCTCTTTGCTTCCTTCTATCTGTACCTTCCTCTCTCATCTTTACAAAGACCACCTTAAGGCCAGCAGAAATACAAAAGCTGTTTGCGAGGACAATACCCTTACTTTTACCATTCCTTTATCTCTATGAGCATTTGAGGCAGCAAAGTAACTCTTCAATATCACAGACCCTGAACATCTAGATAGTTCCATTTCCCTTTATTTCTGCATATAAACTAAGCAGTTCTTAGAACTTTTTTTTGAAACTTTACTAAAAGCAATAAGGAACAGCAAAATACACTAGCAACCTCTTTTTTCCCCATCTGCGTTTGATACATCTGTACATTGATCTGGTGGAAGAGAGAAACTGCTCCACAGAGTTGCCATTTGGCCTCCATACATGTGCAGTGGCATGCATAAATACACATAAAATAGCAAGGTAGCTTAAAGACATCGATATCCAAACATGGCAGGAAAACTTTCTTCCATGTGCATCTAATCTCAGATATGAATATCAAAGCTAACGCTCTGAACAGTGATGATTAGCAAGTATAATCCAGGATATAGCGAAAGATTCCATTGTAAGCAAGTTAATATCAGTCTCCTGCAGGTCCCAGTTAGCAAACTTCTTTCTCCTTCTGCATGAGAATTTGACCTATGTTCTAGCTTTTTTCCCTGATCAGCCAGAAAATGTAGTATGTGACCTTATTGTTGGCAAAAATGCTGCCACATAAATAAACTGTCTTCAGGGAGAAGCAAATACACTGAGCAGTAAACCATACCATACCATTTACATGGCTTTTCTGTGTTGCATCCCTTGGAGGGACCCTGAACACCTTGCCCATAATGTATGAGAGATGCTCTTGACAGGATAAGGTGATTATGTCCAGGCAGTTGCACTGAGCTCTGCTGCTGTGTAAGCAAGCTGTTTGTTGAAGAAGAGCGCTATGTGCCCCTCTGTGGGCAAAGTGTGGTCCCCACCCTTTATCCTTCAGAGGAGGCAGGTGCCAGTTGTGGTCATGGTAGTGGCTCAGTTGTTTACCTGCACCTAAGGAGGACTTGTGAGCACACGATACAGCCTATGTCAGCACCATGGAGACCTCATGAAAAATAGTTTATTTGCAAAATAGATGTGGATTTGACCATAATGGAGTCATATCTCAAACCAAAAGCAAGAATACTATATAGTGGTGAAATACTGGGAAAATTCTTATCAATGTTAAGAAAAAGATCTGTTTTAATTCTAGAGACATTTGATATGATTAGATTAAAAAAAAACCGATGTGTGTGAAGGCATGAAGCCATTTTCTTTTATTTAAAAACATGACATTATTGTGTAACTGGACAAAATGAGTTAGTTTCAAACCTACTGTCGGGGCTGCAGAGAAGGCTCAGTACTTAAGAGGACTTAATTTTCTTCCAGAGAACTAAGTTGCTGTGGGATAATGCTCTTGTACACTGTAAAGATTTGTCACTAGTATTGTTTTAATAAAATGCTGATTGGCCAATAGCCAGGCAGGAAATATAGGTGGGGCAACAAGACTAGAAGAATTCTGGGAAGAGAAAGGGCTCAGTC